AGGGTGCACAAGGGGGGAGACTTACCCAAGGAACTTCCCTTCCCTGCTGGCTTCCCCATTGACTTTGCTTGTGGGAAGCCAGCAGGGAAGATCACAAACCACAATCATGCGACTGCGGGATGCTGCAATGGTGGTAAGTGCAAGCCAGTTGCCAAGCACTGAGATCACGATCATGTGACTGCAGGGGTGCTGGGATGGCTGGAACTTTGAGGACCGGTCATAACTACCATTTGTTTAGCGCTGTCATAACTTCAGTCAGTCACTGAACAACTGGTCATTAACTGAGGACTACCTGTATCAATCTGAGTGTCAGCATCCATTTGCTTTATCTTTTAGTTGGTGCCTTCCAAGCAGCAATTCTTTCTGAGGATCCCTTGAGTGGCCGGAAGGACATCTTCAGTTGCTTCCACAAGCTTACAAGGGTTTTTTCTATGTCTTGTTTTGATTCACTTCTTCTTGTATTTCTCCATAATGTGGTATGTCTCTGTTGGGACTTGTTTTTACTCATGAACAGTCTCTTTGAACTCCTTACAACTAATGCCTAAATCTGTCTAAGGATTGTAGTTTTCATTGTTATTACAGAAAAAGTAGTATTTCATTTTTTAAAAAAATTAGGTTCTCCAGACTGTCTGAGTCTTTTTTTGGAGAGAATTCTGGCAAGCATAAGAAAACATTATTGATTTGATATCTCCTATTTCTAGGTGGCTGATATTGCATCTGTAATGATGTCTAGCAAAATGAAAGACAGTCTTGAGCTTCAAGTGGCAGAATTGGAAATGCTTTTGTCTATGTTTCCTAATAAAGGAGAAATAACTCTTCAAGATGAAAATATTTTCCAGAATATTCAAAGATACCTGGACAATACAAGTGAAAATTTCCCACCTAAAATTGAGTATTCAGTTGCTGTTCCAATAAATGAAACCAAGGTGAGATCATCTGTTTTCATTGGTTATTATTATTGAAGAATCCCAATTATATTTCACCTTAGTAAACATTTGTGAATCAAGCCCAATCTCAAGAAAATATGAATTTGAACCAATAGGCCTAGTGCATATTTGTTTGAATCTTGTCTTAGTCATATATGTTTTTGTTAGCTGTAGATTACATTATGATACTGCATTTAGAGATTAAATATATTATTACAATACAGTGTCCTGTTTGCAAGGATACTGGAGGTGTCCTCGTAGGTAGTCTAAAAGCTTCTTTAGTTAACAGTGCAGCTATCATGCTTCACTGGGCATATTTTTACAGACCACTTTTGGATATATTTTTTTTTTACTTATAAACCTTTATTATCTGGGATCCCAAGATAGTCATTCTCTGTGTGTTTATTGAATAATTTTGTTCCATTTCTGAGTTTTGTTTTCTTCCACTTTAAATCTTGATCTGTGATCCTGTGATCTAGAATAGCTTCTCTAGATAAATGAACATTCTAGATAAGGTTGAAGGGGGCCATTTAGGCATCAAGTCCAACCTATTCAATGCAGAAATCCCAGTTAAAACATCCTCATGGATGGTTATCCAGTATTTGCTTGAACATATCTAGTTTTGTTTTTATTTCAGAACAGTGCATTAAATAAAACAGTTGCTTGTTATACGCTAGTTTTTGTTTCATCTTCTCTTTTTATAACACCTTTTTAAGGTCAAGTATTTTTCTGTTACAACCTGTAAGTACAGGTATTCCTGAGTTAACTAGGATTTGTTCAACGACCATTCAAAGCTACAATGGCACTGAACAAATGGTCCTCGAAGTTGCAGCCGTTGCATTCCCATGGTCACGTAATCATGCTTCAGATGCTTGACAACTGGTTTACAATTACAACAATCACAGCATCCCACGGTCACATGATCACCATTTGCAACCTTCACTGCCAGCTTCCAGTAAGAAGGGGAAGCCGGCAGGAGGTAGCAAATGGTGATCATGTGACATCATGCTTAATGACTGCACAGGGTTCGCTTAACAACCGCAATTGGAACTGCCATCGTAAGTCAGCATGGTCACGTGACGTTGTGCTTTACAACCATATTGCTTAGCGATGGAGTTCCCAATCTCAGTTACTGTCATTAACCAAGGACTACCTGTGTGTGTCATTGAGTCTTATTCCCCCAAACTGTATCTGTTTGGATTATTGCTCTAGGCAATGGAGCAGCAAGATCCTACACTAAAATAAACATACTGTGAAGATGAAAGCATTGCAATTGTTAGTATATGACATATATTCTAGACCCAGAAAGCTGTACTGTATCAGAGATCACCCCACTAAACAGAGCATTTAGCATTAGAATTAGAGATTTCAGAATTGCTCAAGGCTTGTATCTTTGCCTTT